AGTGACAATAAAGACTTTGAGAATATTACTTATGGGTCCTTACACTGAATTTTATCACCAGAATTCAAAATATTTATCTGCACACTGACATTATGACACCCTGTGCCATTCTTTGAAGCAACTTTAAAGCAATTTGGAAACCTTACACTTTAGGTCTCAGTAGCCTTTCCAAGTCAAGTACATAGTATGTATCATCCTCCTTCTCTTAAAAAGAAACTGAGATACTATGAGATAAAGGCTCTTATTAAAATGATAAATTTGCCAATTTCTGCTACCATTCCCCCGAGCAGGTTCTAATCCTGATGCTTCATTTTGGTAGTCCTTTCTCCATCTTTAATTCCTCATTTGGTGTGGCTACAAGATAATATACAGAAGGCTGAGGTCAGGATAAAAACTATCACAAAGTATAGCAGTAGCATGTCTCTACTTTGTGACTTTACAATGAAACTACATTAAAATGGACATAAGACCCACATAATAAAAGGCAAATGGGTTTCATCCCTGGTGTTGGGGAAAGAAATGCAGCCAGAAACAGGAGATGTTTATTTCATAATTACTTAAAATTGGCATACTCTCCAAAACATAAAAAAATGACATCATTTGCCACTGATGAAAGGGGACAATTGATTAGAGAATGACAGTTACCAGGAAAAGACATCACTTGATTTAACTCCCAATTTGAGGCTTTTTTGGAGAATAATAATGCTTTGTCTTTTTACAGTGCTCTGAATTGGCATTAGCTGAAGCCAGATAATGCAAAATCACAAGCAATGCAAAGCTACTGAGGAAAAAAGAGCAATTCACTCTTATTTACTACTAAAGGTTCTAAGTCTAATAATTCATTTAACTGAGTACCATATTATGGTATAACATACAAACAGTATTCTTATAAAACTGAGGAACTGCTTTATAAGCTCACAAGTCTTACTTCCAAAAATTTCATAGCAAATCTGTTTCTAAAAGGACCACAGTCCATTTTTAAAACCATCTACTGGGTTGTCAATAGGATGATGGTTCAGTAGATGCATTAGCAAACAGGTTACCTTAGATGAATGAACAAGGTCATTTTCACACAAAAACTCTTCACATAAAAGACCTTCTAAACAAAGAAATAAATGTACCAAAAAACAAAACAAAACAAAACAAAAAACACAAGATACCATAAAAGAACCATTTCTAAATGTAGGCCCACTCAAAGCTATTTGAAAAGGCACTGGTGTATCTTAAAAATAATTTCTAATATAGGTTTTACTTTATGGTTGCCACATTCAGATAAATAAAATGGCTGATTTAACTCTTTCTCTACAGATTCCGTAGAGCATGAGAATATGGCTATGGACATATTTTCATTGCACATGAAAATAAAGTTAAGTGCTTAATCTCTCTTCCCTCAACTCCCTGGAAACCATCTCTCAGGGAAACATCGTATTTTTTTTTTTCTTTTAAGATGGCAATTCTGTTTCAAAGGTAGTTTTGTTAGCCATTTTGGTCTATGTTTTGTGCTCCATTTTATTTTAAATGTGCTTTTAAAATAGAAGCATTCTTATATCATAGAACATAAGTTCTTAATCTTTCGTTTCTCCAGCCTCAGATCACTGGTAGCATGGAGCTGAGGGTAGAGATGCTGGGAAAATAATAAGCAAGCCTCTAAACACAAGGACAGGAGAAGAGTGACATTGCTAACAGAAAAGCTCATTGTTATGTATCTATGAAAGTATGGCAAGATCAGAGGGCAGAAGTGAATGTAACACTGGCCTGCTTGATTATCTCACACATTCTTTAACTGAAATTAAGTTTGGGGCTCCAAAAACATATGGAGATGTGCCTGATAAATCCCAGGCCTCCCATGTTCCCTAGTTAATAGTTATGAACTTCTGTTACATTTCCTTATGAAATATGTGAAAAACTTCTAAGCCCAATGAATTTGGGCATGCATATCTTCAGTCTCTAACCCCACATTCCAGTTTTCTCTTCAAAAAAACAGGGAAGAAAAAAAAAGCCCTGAGTCATGGGGATTTGAAGCATGGCATAGTGAGAGGGCTGGTCTTGGAGTCAGTCTGGATGACATGGTGTTCAAGTAACTGCCTCTGATACACATTAGCTACGTGTGACAAGGGCAAGTCACTTAACCAAAAACTATCAGTGCCTCAGTCGTTCTCTTCAATGATCACTTATGGGTAGATTACCAATCTGCATCAGTATAAGGAAGTTTCTACACTAACAGTTCCCCAAACTGATCAAATCACAGGTCCATTTTAAAATTTTATAAAGTCATATCATTTGAGGCCTGAAATTAATTTAAATATTTACTATAGATGTCAGTCAACATTTTCTCAACCTCTAGGAGCAAAGCACCATATTGTACTGAACTAAGTGTTATAGGGAGAATGTAATATAGAATACCTGTTCTCTGCCCCTCAAAAGTTCACAAACGTTTGTCTCCAAAGTTAAAAAGCAAAAAGACCAAATATTTTTCAAGTAGGTGACTTTTATTTCTCTTTCAAATTTCACAGTCAAGTCAATTTCTCCAAAATTGCATCCTTCCCCCAAAAGACATTTCTCCCCTACAGAATTCACAGCTGGATATGCATATTAATGTATGCACAACAGTTATATCCTAGCTACAGGTAGCATGAAATTGGGAGGGGGAGGAAAGTCATACATCAATACTAGAATTAGGAAAAAAAGCAACAAAAATGCTATCGATTACAAACCTCATTGACTCCATTTCTACAACCAATTCAATCCAATACCATTTTTTTTTCCTAGAGGCATTTCCATGGTGTTCATAGTAACAACTAAAATTCTATGGGCTGAAAATACATCTAGGGCACCTTCTGGATAAGATCTATGCCACGATTGACTTATCACTCACAGAAAATTTTTGCTGTTTCATATATTAGACCCAACTATGCATCTGCAAGACCAATGCTACTTACAACCTTGTCCAACCAATGGAGCAGATATCTTCCTGATCAGCCTGTGAGTCGTTTTTCCACACGCAGATCTGGCTTCTGTTCCAGTTTGCTGGCCTCAATGCATCTCCCTCCACCTTCCCATGCTTAGATTCTCTATTCAGATCTAGCTACTTACAGTTTAATTAAAGAGAGAAAAACCTATGCTGTACAAAATCTTAATAAGGCTTCCAGCTCTGAGACACCTAGAACAGAAAGATTATCCTGAATCATATCTGTTTCTTATTTCCATTTAGTAGTAAGGATCAATGACAACTTTCATCATCTTTTGCTGTGACACTAAGCAAAATGCAAACCTTAATCTGGGAAGAAGAATACAAGAAGCTGACAGCTCCACAGCGGATTTTTCTGATGAAATAAATTTGGTTCCCAGTAAGCATTTTCAGTTTTGCCAAACAGTAAGGCTCATAAGTGGTGTCTGGAAGGCTGTTCCGGAATGCACCTGGCTCTATAGCTTCGATGCCAAATTTATCTGCCAAAAGGAAGTTTCTTAGCAGGGCACACAGTGTGCCATTGCTCTAGTACCACGCAAACAGATACAGAGGAAGTAAGCAAGTTGGGCCAGAAGATCTTCAAAGGACAAGAGACTCTGTTCAGTGCCATAATGCGCTCTTGATTTAACTTCCTCCAGAAAACACAAGGCAGGTAAAAATTCTGCACTGATTAGGGCAGAGTCTAGATAAATGTAATAAGAATTATTAATGTCTATGTTGTACCATTCTTTTGAAATCAATGGTTTCAAAATCCTAATTTCTGAATACCAAAAAGGGGGCGGGTGGGTCTGGGTCCTTTTCCTGTGACCCAAGTAAGAAATTTTCTATTATGTTAGAGTTATTCCTATGAGATAAAGAGGATTATCCTCAGCTTGCTTAAACTTCAAGAATTTCTTTGTTGAAAAGCTGAAGTCTCTGCGAATTTTTCTGTTATCTGCATAAAGAAAATTATTTCCTACATACAGAGATAGAACTCAAGATGATGAGATACTTAAATCAAAGGATTAAAAAGTTTTCTGGGCCTAAGACTTTATCACCTAAAAACTTGTTTTACCTTTCTACTCCAATAGAAAAGCATCATGCTTTTGTCAAGTCTAGGAAATCTGATCATATCCTTCCTTTCCATATGGACTTGGATCAGTGACCTAAGTCTCTAGAGCAGATTCAGCAATCTCAAACAGATGATGGAAGAAGGTATGATATCATCAGTCCCTCTGTAATATTGGAAGCCAGTGCAAGTTTTAGGATTTGAGGGGAAAGTGATAAGCCTGAAGAGAAGCTCACAATCTCAGGAGAATTTTACTGAATTCGAGGTACACCCCCTAAAAGGTCTCTCCTTTTTTCCCTCACACCTTCAAGGGAGTTAGGGAAGCACAGGATAAACTTCACTTTGGGGATCCCCTCAAATTGACGTGAGAATTTTTAGGCTCAATAAAGGTTCAGTTATCTCACAGATAAAGAGGAATAAAAGCACAGCCACCTGAACTAGACAAATACAAACAAAAGGATACGAGTTCTTGGTAACTTTCTCCAGGCTACCAAGTCAAACAATCAATTCATCAAAAGACAACACTGCCAGGTTCTTATTAGATAATTCTAGATATTATGTAATCCACTAAATACTTCAGAAATCTTAAATTATTTTGCTCAGGTGTAAAGCCCTGATGCAGAGCAATCTGGTTTGTATGTAAAAATCTGTAGCTAATGTCAGTCTAATGCTATTACACTTTCACCTCAATTCTCCAGTTTAAGAAAATTAAATCTTAAGTGATTAGGCTGCTTTGCATATTATGCCAAACTTGCACCAAAGGAATTTCAGGTTTGGACCAAGTGGCATTCTATCTGTGGAATGCAGCAATAAAGCAGAGACACCTCCACTTGTTTTTAGATGTGACTAAGACAAGTAAGCTAGAACCCTTTGGGTTCTCTACTCTCCAATCTTACAGATGCCACAGGACCCACTGTGTGTGTGTGTGTGTGTGTGTGTGTGTGTGTGTGTGTGTGTGTGT